TACTTTTGTGACAAATGTTACCTAGTTTCTGGTAGAGTTATGACAATTTATTTTATTTTTTTTACATACGAATCTCCACATTTTTTGTGGTAATATTACGCATTTTGTGATTCAAAGATGTTTCAATAAAAAAATGTGTAACCCTACTATAAAAATGCATAATATTACCACAAAATACATATTATGGACCATAAATTGTCATAACTCTAGCACAAGATTATGTAACATTTGTCACATAATGTGTAACATATACTAAAAAACTACGTAACAATGTGTATATGATACACTTTTTTGGGGGTATTTACCAAAGGGGTTTTCTAAAATCAGAGATTTTTATGTGTTAAACTTAGAAATTTTGATTTGTGCTAAAATTAAATTTTTTGATTAGGAAATTTTATATTTTATGTTTAAAAGATGAGAAGTTGTTAGGATGAATTGTAAAAGGGATAAATTATGCAAATGGTCCCTGTAATTTATACGATGTGTCAATTTGATCCTTATTATTTCAATTTACTCGATTTTTCCCTTAATTTAACAAATTGTGTTATGTTAGTCCAATAAATTACGCATGTTAGGTTTGATAGATGGAAAGTCAAATGATGTGTTAATTTGGTCCATGTAGTTTACACGATGTATCAATATGGTCTCTGTTGTTTTAATTTACTTGATTTTGACAGGGACCAAATTGACACATCGTGTAAACTATAAGGACCATATTGATACGTTGTTTGATTTTCCGTCCACTAAACCTAATGACTGTTATTTATTGGACTAATATGACACAATCCGTTAAATTAAAGGGTAAAATCAAGCAAATTGAAATAATATGGATCAAATTGACACATCATATAAATTATATAGACTATTTACATAATTTACCCTTATAAAAATTATATTAAAAATTTTTATAACAAATATTTAAGTTTCTATGCTTAGTGTTAACTTAAAAAGTACGTATGTTAATGCTCAAATCCCCAAAACTGTCAAATTCAAATAAATGAGAGAAGGTGAGGTTTTGGCTTGATAATTGGATTATGGATTAGCCTCTTATACAGAAAGCTACAAGTCTAGTGCCTAATGAAGACATGGAGGAGGTTGTTGAGCATTTTTGGAAAGAGGGGCAAGGGTGGAAATGGGACAAGGGGTGTTTTGGAAAAATGGTTAAAAGTTAATTTTTTGATTTTATTAATTTTTTTATGTGAGAGATGATGTGACTCAAAATGGGTTGAAAGCTTACTTTTAGCTTTTTTGGTATATTCCCAAATGGCCTCAAAATTACACATTTGCTCCCCCAAGAGATTTCGATCAAATTCCAGAGTATTGTTCTAATTCAGTAGAGGGGAAAAAATATAGATAGACAAATCTGGAAGCACACAAACCATGGATGCATTACGGTAGAGTCGGCTTATAAGAAGATTAAGAGGGAGAATCATGCAGGAGAACCTACAAATGCTTGGAAATCCATTTGGAAGAACAAAGGATTGCAATGATGGAAATGTCTTCTATGGATAATCAGACATGATCAGCTTACTTGCCGAAGATGTAAAGCACATAATGAAACAACTCTTCACTCCTTGCGGGATTGTTATATTCCTAGGGGCATTTGGAAGAGATTCATTTGCCCAAAGTTACAGCAAACATTTTTTTAATCTTCCACTCCTTGGTTGGGTAAATGAGAACATGGCTAATACCAAATGGGCTAAGAATAAGAATCATGATTAGACTCTAATGTTTATGGGGACTGGTGCTATGATTTGGTTATATTGAAACAAGTCCATTTTGGACCCAACATTTGTGATTCCCATTATCCCCATATCTACTATTTGAGAAGTTCTTCATGAGGTAAAATGGGCACAAAAAAAAATTTCTAGTGCAAATCTGATAAGGAGTCCTAGTAATGATTAGTAGATACCTAGAGAGGGATGGGTGAAGATCAACATCGATAGAGCTTGTGCTGGCAATCTGGGATGGCATGAATTAGGAGAGTGATCAGAGGTAGTGTTGGCTTATGGATAAGGGGCTTCAAGCAGTGGATAGGCTGGGCTTTAGCTGTAACAACTGAATTATGGGTGATATTGCACGGTCTAACTCTAGCCTGGAAATGAGAGTGGGATTAGGTAGAGTTTGAAATAGACTCTCAAGATGTAGTGAATCTCATTAAAAATCCGAAGCCCAATCATCCTTATCACAAAATGGTCTTGCAAATACAGAGAGTCTTGGACAGAAATTGGGAATGCAAGTTCAGTTATATTGCTCGAGAGATAAATGGATGTGAAAATCAAACTACTAGGGAGGCTATTCAAGAGAGACGCATAGTTAAGAATAGTGGAGGTGTTGTCATCTCACCTAAAACAGCTTCTTGTTTAGGAGACTCCTGATTGGAAAGCTTTTTAGTTTGTTCCTTGGCTTAGGCCTCCATCTTATCCAAAAAAAAAAGTACTTTTTCTTAAAAAGTTTTGGTTCTTCTCGTCATTGAGCTAAATGCAGAAGTGTAAAACTTTTTACATGTGTTTTTTTAAATAAAAAACATTAGCAAAAAAATAAATAAATAACAAATAAGCAAACTTCAAACACCTATTGTTATTCATTGTGGGAAGATTAAAAAAAAAAATTGAGATTGTGATTAACAATTGCCCTATTTAAATTAATTTTATGACTCTGTCATTGACAATGGTAGTAAAGTGCCAATGATAGTGATAGTAACAACGGCCAACATTTATAATTAGGTAAAGTGTCTTTACTTTAACATTTTAATTTCTTTATAAGATGTTAAAATTTTAAGTATATGATTGTTTACCTTTAGGAGGTCTCTTTTTGAATGGGAAAAAGAAGTGCTCCACAGACTTCTTGACATCTTAGCGGCATCTCCTTCTCTGAATCTGGTTGTAAAAGACAGTGCAGTTTGGTGAGCATCAAAACCTGGGCAGTCCCTTGTATCCATTCTATATAACTATACTAACCTTGGCTTTGGTAACACTATTAGTTCTAGTAGTTTGGTTTGGCTCAATTACCTACCACCCAAAGTGCAATTTTTTGGATGGCTCACATGGAAACACAAGGTTAAAACATATGTGTTCTTGCAACAGATTGGTGTATTGGATAGGTCTGCTTCTATCTCATGTCTCTTTTGCAAAGCATATCAGGAAACAATCCATCATGTACTGATTCACTGCCCTATGGTGTGGAGGATTCAGACTGGGCTGTTACAATGGTGGGGAGCTCTTTGGGTGGTTCCTGGTTCTATTGAGGGTCTGCTGTAGTGGTGGGCAGGGTACATTTGAAGGAAAAATGAGAGGAGAATTTGGCGTGCCATACTACTAGTCACTCTTTGGTCCATCTGGAAGTTCCGAAATGAGTGCCTCTTTCAAACCTCCCAACTAAAAATACAGGTGTTGCAGAAACTCATAATCACAAGGCTTGTAATTTGGTTAAAGTCCTCTTCCAAAGAATTTCACTTCTCTATTAATGATCTTCTCTTCAATATTTTAGGTGTGAGGCATTGCCTTCGTTCATGAGGTGTTTTTTGGTTGATAATGTTCATAGCATGGCAACAATGATATGATCTGATGAGGATTGTTTTACCCTATTGAATTAGTGGCAAGTCTCATGCTCGCATTACCTTGTTGAATTGATCTGATCTGCTAGTCTTGTTTGTTAATCTGCTGTGCTGATCAAAAAGCTCTGTTTTGGTGTGTGACGAAGCTCTTCATTGATATATTTTGGTTGAATTGTTGTGCGAGGAAGCTCTTCATTTGGCCTATTTTGCTCTGTTCTGCTTGCCTTTCTTGTCTATTTTGTTTCCTTTGCTTGCTTGTTCGTTTCGCACCAACTGGAGCTTGGAGCTTATGTTAGCTCTAAGCTCCTCTTTATTGATGTATTTTACCATACTTTGTATGTTTCATTAATAAAGATTTCTTTTACCGTTCAAAAAAAAAAAAAAAGAAGTATATGATTGTTATCACGAAACAAGCCTAATTTAATTTTACTAAATATATTCAACTTTTTTTATGTAGTGAATTAAATTATCAAACACAATAGACAGAATAGTGAGTTGAGCTATATTCACTAGACTTGTGTTTCATTACTGTATTTCAATTTTAGGGCAATGTCACATTGGATATGAAATAATTTTTTCAATTTTAGACCATCTGATGTAGGGGTGTAAATTTGGTCCGGCCCATGTCGGGCCTTGCAGACTCCTGCCAAAATTTGGGTCGGGCCACGGGCCAGAAAACTAGGCCTAGGGCCAAGGCATATTCGCGCCTTGGTGGGTCAGTGGGCCGAGCCTTGGGTCAGGCCGGTGGGCCTAAGCTCGGTCTTGGGTTGGGCTTAAACAAAAAAAAAATTTCCCTGCCAAAATTTTATTAATTTCCACTAAAACAGACACCAGGCCTTGGGCGGGCTAGGCCTTGAGTGGGCCTTAAGCAGGCTGATGGGCCAACCTACAGGCTAGGCCCACGGGTCGGACCAGGCTTCAAAATGATAGCCAGGCCCAAGGTTTCGAGCTGGCCTTAGGCCGGGACTAAACGGGCTGTGGGTGGGCTTCGGGCGCCCACAGGCTGTGTGCCATTTTTACACTCCTATCTGATGGAGACTTGTTTTGATCGTACATGATTACTAGTATGTCCAATAAAATTAGGGAAAATTACCATTTAGTATATTTTCAAAAAATAATTACAAAGAGATTGAAAATTTTGTATTTTTAATTATTAAAATTGACAAAATTTATCATTAATTTGTAATTATTTTTTTACAATTACACTTGTCTATAATTTTTCCATAAAAATATCACAACTACTTCCAAATTAACAAAAAAAAATTGTTTTTTAAAAAAAATATAAGACATCAAATTTTTTTTAACACAATTGGGAATTAAATAATTTTGAAAGAATCTAACAAAAGACAAAAATATAAGGAGGGACCACCCTATCTTAGCTAAATACACAAATTCTTAGCAAACTCAAAATACAAAAACATTCTTTTATAAATTAATAGAGGTCAATCCCAATTGAGAAGAACCTCTCCAAAAATAGGTATATGCCACTATTTGCAACGAGCACATGGTATTCTTTAGTAAAAGGCAAAAGAATAACTCGCTTTGTGCTTACTGCATGGCTATGTGCTCTTTTGCATTGCTCAAACAATATCTTATACAAAGCTAGATGTAAGGGGTTCTTTCTTCACAACCAATGTGGGAATCTTCATAACCATTTTCACTTACATTCTTATTTGTTCTTCAAATGATCAAATTTCAATCTTTAACCCCAAAATGCTTTAGTTTATGTATAGAATAGTTAAATAATAGTGGCATTTTCTTGTATTTGATGATCAATGATCATACATGCAGTTCTGGGAAATAAGATGTATAGCTTTAGGGAAAACCATCCACTACACTTCTAATCCAATACTACAATTTTGTGTTTACTTTACTAGAATTAAAGTGGAATAGAATAGAATGATCAATTTTTAATGTTCATATGAAATTATCGTTCCTCTATAATGGTGAATAATAATTTCACTCGTAATATATTTTTCATCATCTTTTTAGTAAATCAAAAGTGCGAATTTCTAATGAAATGATTCCATTACACCTTCATTCTAGTGACCCAAACATTATTCAAGTGTAATTCAATTTTAGACTATTTGATGGAGTACTCCTTGTGATCAATGGGATATGCAATGAACTATGACAGGTAATTCCATTTTACCAAACATTTCATACTGTGTAAGCCCAGGGATTGAAGTCTGACTTTCAATGGGGGCTTAAAAGTGTAGTAGGGCCTATGCTGATTTGTTCAGGCATATCACAGACCCATGGTGATGCAATTTGCTTAAGTAAAGAGATTATAAAGAAAAAAAATGAGAAAGAGTGCAGTTCGAAAATCAAGTGGTAAGAAGATTAAAGAGATGAAGGGGGGTTATCTTGAGCTTGCTAAAAGACATGGCCACAATAGGGCTTCATTAACTAAATTAGGCCCAAAAGGGGCAATTTGGAGAGCAATCGCTGCGGTAGCATCAGTGTCCTCATCATTTGCCAATGTAGTGGCTAGAGATAGAAAAATGCTTAAAGAGGCTAAAGAAACTCTACAACTGGGAAAATTATTGGGAGTAAATTACAAAGGTAAAGAAGAGGAAATTATGTCCGAAATTATGTCCAAAATTATAGAGCAAGAGGCACAGGATAAAGCAAGAATGAGAGTGGGTTCTGATGTTGCAGTTTAAAGTGTAGCATTGAGGGTTAGAGGTCAATGACAAAGGTTAATGATGAAGGTCCTATCATGGAATGTGAGGGGTCTGGGAAGGAAGGAAAAAATGAGTAAGATAAAAAGCATGTTGAAAGCTAGAGGGGTTGACATTGTTCTGTTTCAGGAGACAAAGAAAGCATTTATGTTAGAAAATGAGGTAAAGGAATTATGGGCCAGGGATAGGATGGAATTTATGTCAGTTGATGCTGAGGGAACTGCTGGTGGTTTATTATGCATTTGGGATCCTGGTGTGCTGCAGGTCTCCAGTTGTTGCTGTAATAGAAGATTTATTCTTCTATCAGGTACCCTATTCTTCTCTTTCGAATGTGTTATAATTGATCTGTATGCACCTAATGAAGTGGGCCTGAGAGGAAAATTTTGGGAGTATCTTTTGAAGCTAAAAGAGGAGTTTTCAAATCCCTGGTGCTTGGGGGGTGATTTTAATGAAATCAAAAACATTGGAAAGAGAAAATGATGTTCTAAGAGGGAGAGGGGTATGAAGGAATTGAATGATTTTATTGATAAAAGTGAGGTGAATGACTTGCTCCTATTAGGTAGAAGGTACATATGGTGTAATGCCAGGGAAGGGGAAAAATGGAGTAAAATTGACAGAGTACTAGTAGAACCAAAATGGTTAGAATCATTCAATCTGAAGTTGTGGGGGTTGCCCAGAGCTATGTCTGATCATGGTCCTTTACTTTTGATGGAAGATAAGAGATTGGGGTCCTAGACCATTTAGGTTCTTAAATGCGTGGTTACTATACCCAAATTTCTTCCCTTTCATGGAACAATGGTGGTTGGAGAATCATGTGGAGGGTTGGGCTGGTTTCAGATTATTTCAGAAGATGAAGAAGCTGAAATTAGCACTTAAACAGTGGAATGGTGATGTATTTGGTAATGTAAATACTAAGTTGAAGCAAGCAGAGGAAGAGCTTCACAAGATTGATTTGATAGCAGAGGCAAGAGAGCTTGAAGAGGCAGAAAAAGTAAGAAGAAGACAGGTTAGAGATGAAGCTTGTAGATTAAATAGAATGGTGAAATGGTTGTGGCTTCAGAAATCAAGACTGAATGGTGATAAAAACACAAGATATTTTCATGTGATAGTTAAGTGCAGACAGGGGAGAAATGAAATCAATTCGTTAACTATCGGGGATGTAGTATTTGATAATCCTTAAAAAGTTAAGCAAGAGGTTCTAGCTCATTTTCAAAAACAATTTACTGAGGTTTGGCAATGTAGACCTATATTGGAGGGTCCTTTCAAATCAGTGAGGGATAGCCCATATTTTGTTTTGCTGGAAGCAGAATTCTCTTAGGAAGAGATAAGGTGCGCTATTAAGGACTGTGATGGTAATAAGGCGCCAAGCCCAGATGGGTTTAACTTGGCTTGTATTCAAAAGTTGTGGAAGGTGATGAAGACTGATGTGCTTAATTTCATGGCTGAGTTCCATAAAAATAGTAAGCTGGTTAAAGGGATCAACAATTCCTTCATCACTTTGGTCCCCAAGAAGGAGAATCCAGTGGGTTTAGCTGACTACAGACCAATTAGTTTGGTTGGTTCACTATATAAAATCCTTACTAAGGTTCTCTCGTCCAGGTTGAAGGCAATGATTCCTCAAAGTATTAGTGAAAATCAATCAGCATTTATTAGAGGTAGAAACATTCTAGATGGAGTGTTGGTGGCCAATGAGGTTGTGGATAGTTAGAAGAAAGCCAGGAAAAGAGGTTTGCTCATAAAGTCAGATTTTGAGAAAGCTTATGACTCTTTGAATTGGGACTTTTTAATGTCAATGAAGCTTTGGGTTTGGTGAAAAGTGGGTGAAGTGGATAAAGGAGTGCATAACCTCTACTTGGTTATCTGTGCTTGTTAATGGAGCACCAACTGATTAGTTTAGTCCACAAAGAGGGCTCAGACAAGGCGATTCCCTATCCCCTTTCTTGTTCAACATAGCAGCTGAGGGTTTAAGTATATTAATGTCAAGGGCTTTGGATTTGGAGTTGATAATAGAGGTGAAAATTCGCACAGATGAGGTAGTTATTTCTCATCTTTAGTTTGCTGATGATTCTCTAATTTTGTGTGAAGCTGTGTAGACACTCCATTTTTGACCGACCTTAAGACTCAGACGTCACCGATTGAGCGCTCGGTGATGGTGCATACTGTGCTCATTCAGAGGTCGCGGAGTCTCGGCCGTGAGCCTTGCCTCCGGACTTCCGGACTCTTTTGTGCTTTGCCTCGGTTTGTGAACCAGGTCCCGTTTTCTTCGTCTTCTCTTCTCGGAGGGAGGGAGAGGTCTCATAGATCATCTCTCAGTGGCCGTAGGCTATGTTTCGTGGTCGTAGGCCGTTTTTCCCGTTTCGGAGCCCGGTTCCCAGTTTTCGGAACCGTTGGCCGTGTGCCTCGGTTCGGGACCGCTTAACCACCTCCGTTTGCTCCGGTTTTTGGTATACACCCCACCATCATCCATTCCAATGACTTGGAGCTATTTTTTAGAGCTTAGGAGCACCATTTCTCTGACCAAGAGCTGCTGGTCCGTTGGTCTTCAAGGGTAAGCTTATTTTCCTCTTTTTTGTTCCTATCTTGCTCTATATCTAAGCCTTTCTTGCAAGCATTTTTGGGCTCCGACCCAAACTATAAATAGTCATATTTTGAGCTCCTTTTCATGTTTGATTAAGGACCTTTTACTGTTTGAGATCTCCTACTATCACTTGCCTCTTTAACTCTCCTTTAGGCCTATTTTTGCATGGTATTTTAGGCTTATTTGTGAGCTGTTTCGTGGCTTGATGTAAACTGTAAAGTGTCTTTTTTTGAGCCCCTCTTCAACTTTGTTGGAAGATTCTCTTCGGTTTGAGGCCAGCAGCTACCACTTGCCTCTTTATCTCTCTTTTAGGCCTATTTTTTGGGGGAAATTTGAATTGATTTTCCTCCCCATTTTTCCCCCCTTTTCCTCCATTCCTCCCTCTATAAAACCAGCAGCTCCAGCTGCATTTTGGGTGAAAATAAAATTTTGTTTAAGCCTCCTACATTTAATTTCTCTCTCTCTATATTCCAAGCATCAAAACCCTTTTGTTTTTTTTTGGCCCCTTTCTCACCACCACATAGCACCACCTCCCCACCATCCTTTCCAACACTTGGAGCTGGTTTTCCAGAGGCAAGGATCACCTTTTCTCAAGCCAAGAGTTGTTGAAGCATTGGTCTTCAAGGGTAAGTCTTCTATCCCTCTCTTTGGCCCTATTTTTGCTCAATATATTAGCTCCTCCTGGTTGCATATTTGGGCTCCGACCCTAACTGAAAATAGAATTATTTTGAGCTCCTTTTCATGTTTGTTTAAGGGCCTCTCCCTGTTTGAGGCTTCCTTTTTACACTTGCTTCTTTACCTCTCTTGTATGCCTCTTTCTTGTATAGTATTTTAGGCCTATTTTTAAACTGTTTTGAGCTTGGTTATAAACTGTAAAGGATATGTCCCTATGTTTCTCCCTGTCCCCTTTCCCCACACGATTTCAGTGTGTTTGGAATTTA